CAAAAATATGTATTAAACCTCTGTAAGAAACAGCTTAGCCACTTATAAGACTGATGCTTCTTGTGATACTGGCAGAGGAAGACAGGGTTTTACTCAGTGAACTTATGGACACCCTTTCCTTCTTCTCCCTGTGATTTTAGGAGCAAATCATGTAATTCTGACAAATTATCATGTATCATCTGAGCTACGAAAGATCTGTAGTCCTTTTTGCACTTTGACTTCTTATTTTGAGTCACTCAGACTTGAGGCACATTGAAAACTGAAGTGTAGCATTGCAAAATATTGGATGACTTATTTAAAAAATCTCTATTTTTTGGTGTTTCACTGAAGTACTCCAACTTGTTCATACTGTTTTTTTCTAGAAATAGTGTTAGAGATCATCAGTCTCTTAAGTCAAGGTATCTTTTTAAATTTTGAAACATTTAAATAACTAAATTTCAAATTCTTATTGGCATTTTTGGGCATCTTTGTGAGAAAACAGCATTTTGTTTTGAATTTTACAAAGTCTTGATAAAGTAATGTTAAGAAGTGAAACAAGTGATGCAAAAAGTAATTAAAATTTTTCTTTATATTTAAAATATGAAGTTTATTCTATATTCCAATTCCAATGTAGTTATTTTCTTATCATTTTGGAAGGGTAAAATTAATCCAAATTTTGTTCCAATTTCATTTGTGAAGAACTACACCCTCCATTTTTTCTTCTCCTTCCAAGATTCTTTATATAAAAATGTGAAAATACTAACTCAAATGCTTTTACCAAAATTATTGTAAGAAAGGATAAGTTTATTTTTTATTGAATTCCAAAAAAACCCAAAGATGTTGTTTCTTGTGTATCTTACCTTTTCTAATAAAATTTTCAAGATCCAGAACTTTGAAGTAAAAGCATTCAAAATTAATTTTAAGTTAAGTTTTTTTAGGACTGTATTTTCTTTTCTATATAAATAATTACATTAATTTTTCCATTAAAAATTTTGAATCAGACAGAAAAACAAAAGACGGAAAAAAATTGTCTGATTTTTCTGCCTGGAATTAATAGATACATATATCTTATGAATAAAATAATGATATTTATTCAGTGCTATTTGAAAGGCCATAGAAATAATGTCATTATTTGATTGGTTCCAGACAGTTAATCTAGAAGTAAAAAAATTGGTGGCCAGTGAGATACCATAACAAGTGAAGAACAAACTCTCAAACTGAACAATCAATAACTACAAGGGTGAAATTTGCCACTTCAGACTGTTGTAGTACTGTTCTGTGTGAAATACGTTTTCCATCAACTGAGTTTGGTTCACTATGCAGTATATGAAGAATTGGGCCAGATTTGTAAGTGGCTTTGCTATTACCAATTTACCTATCTATATATCTAATGATATAATTATGTTCATAATGACCTCACATCTAGCAGTAAACAGTACTTTTTTAAAAGAAATATATTGCTGGTTGTTGAATTTTTTTGGTTTTTCATTTGGGCTTTTTTGTTTGCTGTTTGTCACACATATATATGTGTGTGTGTACATATATATACACACATACTGTGCATAGTATATTTAGCTTTGTTTGTAGTCTTGTTTTGTAAAGTGCCAAGTTTTATTTTCATAGCTGTTTAAATGAGTACGATAGGCAGAAGATAAAGGGTTTGCCAAGCTGATATGCTTCAACTCAGTATATGTATTGCTAATGCTATTAATGCAAATAGTGGAGTACATGCTAAAAGCAAAACATTAAAAGCTATCTCCACAGACATACCCAAATTCTGTAAAAATATCACATAATTAATAATTATCTAAATATAAAATTTGGTTTGTGAATTCTGCAAAGTAGTTCTTCCTGACATTTCAGTTTATTACTTCAGCCTGAATTTCTCTGCTAAAATTTATGGTTGTATATTTCTATGGTAACCTTGGAGGAGGGAAGGGAAGGGTGCCAGGGAAAAGAAAGCAAGGATGCTACAGGAAGGAAAACAACAGGAAACTGAGAAATACAGCCAATGAAAGAAAAAGGAAAAAAAAAAAAAAAAAAAAAAAAAAGATGAATTGCAACAGATTTTAGAGGAAATTAGACCTACACAAAAAGCAAAAAAACCCCAAACACCCCCCCCACCCAAAAAAACAACAACAATAACAACAACAACAAAAAAAAAAAAAACCACCCAAAAACTAAACCAAAACAAAAAACATTTCATGGCCAAATATGAAAAAAAACCAAAATAAAACAAACATATTTTGAATGGAAGCTCTGAATGCCCTTATTCTGTAAAAGCCATGGTTTTTATTATCAATACACAGTTAATCTGGAGACAGTGGAAGAATAGGTAGTAAAAGATCCTGGGCATAACAGATAATTTTAAGCAGCCTAAGTCAATATCTATGCTTACTGTGTAGTTTGCAGTGAATTGAAAGTTTTATCTGAATTTATATATCATACTAAATGCACCTAGGTTTTGAATACTGTCCTATATACCTAAAGGAGATACAGTCAGCTCCTAAAGGTGATTTGGTCTCATCAGATGTGTCCACTTCTTAACACTGATTGTTAGAAGTGACTGATTCTTAATTCAGGTAGGTGAGTCAGGCATTAAAATATTGCCAGTTTTTTTTTTCTTTTGTACTAGTGGGAAAATAATAATCTTGTGTCATCATCTGAATGCATCAATTTGTCAACTTGCTAGTAACATCTACCATTTTCAATAGTTTAAGCATCCAAACTTTTTTAACACATGTTGATGCAATTTAGAGTGGGGAAAGTGAAGAAAAGAGAAGAATAATCTTTGGATCGACCTACAGAGGTTTTGATTTAGAACCAGCTGTCCATTTTGAGCCCTAAATACTTAGGATGAATGTAGACTCTTGGAATGGTACCAGATATGTAAAACTCACATGCTACTTAGAAAGGAATGAGTATTTTCAGAGGAGCATATTCTCTGTTTTCAGTCCCCTTGCTATATAGTTAATGTCAGGGGATGAGTTTGACCCACTGTGACACATGGAGTTAAATGGAGTTTAACTGGATTTTAAATGGAAATTGTGCACTTCCTTATATATACTTTCAAAGCTCATTGCCTCCATGTTATTTTACTCCTAGATGTCCATGAGGAGTGAGGATAAAAGAAGGCAAGTACTTGTCAATATATTAAAAGAGAGAGTGAATTTTTTTTTTTTTAATTAATTGTATCATATATGATTGACTCTGGTTAATTTTACCCTTTTCTTCCCATGACTGTTATATTAATTTGGGTATTATATTTTTTTTGCTAGATGTAGGAGATCATCAGGGGATGTCACATGTGGCTCCCAGGGAGCGTTAAATAGAAACACTCCCAAACAAGAAGAATTCTAACATTAATGTCACTCATAAGTATCAGACAACCCTTCCTAGTCCTCAACCTTTCTGTTTTTTTCTCAATGAGTTATTTAAATGAAGCTGGTTTTGAAAGGCTAATTAAATTGGTTAGTGAAGTTTTGCTTTTCAGAAAGAGTGAACTTCATGTTTTGAAATCAGTGAAGACTCTGCCAGAGTCCACCTTCCTTCTGATACTGAAGTCATTGCTTATGTGAATAAATGCCCTGTTAAAATGTGTGAGGAGGTGGAACCAGGTCTTAAGTCACTGTCATTCATCAACACCAGTGCCTGATTACTTGTTTTTTTACAATCTTGTGTATAAAATCTCAATAACTCACAAGTTAGGGTGGAAGAGAGGAAGAGTGCATTAAACATTTCTCTATATTACCTATTACATGACAAAAAAACCAGTACAAAATAGAGACAAATGAGTTCCAAAACTATTTAGAACAGATAATGAATATATATATATAAATAAATATAAACATGAAAGTATTCTTTTAAGTGTTTTAAGTGCTTTAATTGCTCATCTTAATTTTCTTTTGCTTCTTCATCAGACACAAAATGACAGATTCATATTTTTTTGCTTGAATGACTTCTTTAGTACTTCTATGGAAAAAGATAAAACAAGGCTTTCAAGACAAAAATAAAGTTTGCATATCTCCTTTAAAACAGATTTAAAAAGTGTCTATGTTATATAAATAGAATTCACATCACCCACTACCCCACAAAGTCAGTATGGATCATTGTGAACAAAAGCATTCAAGTGTGTTAAGAACACATGGTCATTAGAATAAGAGAATGTACAAAATCATAGATACCATCCTTTCTAATCAAATCCTTAAGTTAAAAAGTAATGTAGCTGCTTCTTTTCATACGCTTCTACAAGAAAAAAAAATACACAGAAAAGCTGGTTGCTTATCTATTATCAGCTGGAAAGGAACAGCCAAAGCCAAATTCTTCAGGTATAAAATTTCTGAAGTCTTGTTTTATTAAAAAAATGCATCATAATCATGACAGGAGTACAGCCTGGTTGTCAGTCACATCCCCAGCTCTGTGGAGGTGAAGTGCCAGTGCTTTCATGTACTCTTGCTCCCTTTCACATGCACACTTGACCTGCTGCAACTCATGAGTTTCACAGTAATCGACACTGCCTGCAAGAGGTAAACAGGAGCACGAGCTGATGGTCTCTCCGTTGCTAATGGTTTGGCAGGTCAGGCAACTGAAGTTTTGTATGATTCAACCCAAACCTCAAAGGGAGGTCACTGGATGCTATATTCCTCCTGCTGCTACCCTGTGTCATCAGCTCTGCACTTCCTTTCTGGAGCACGGTGCTTGATGCATCACACATGACAGGTGACTGCATTAGTGTCTACAACACATCAAGAGAATGGAGTGTAGGATGCACTGATAAAAATGGCACCAGCTTAGGAGTATGTAGGCTTTTGATTCTCTATTACTTTGTGGCTTACTAAGATACTGATATGCAGGCTCAGAAAGGAGTCTCTTTATGCAGCTCAAAACCTCTCAAGCTTTAAAATGGGTATTATTTTTCTCTGCTGTGTTTTTTTGTTTGGATTTTGACGGGTTTTTTTGGTTGGTTGGTTTTGACACAGTCATGCGTCCATCATAAAATATGAAAAAAAAGTCTATAAAGATCAGAACCCTCTCTTTATTTAAAATTAAAACATTGATTCATATTCACTTTGTAGATTTTCTTTTCATACAAATATTCTGAGTCATATAATGTGCAACACTATTTCTGTTTTCTATTGCAAAGAATTGTAACAAAATACAAAGTACTAAGCACTGTTTTTTTTCTAAAAGGCAAATTTTTGAATTCCCAATACTTATAAAGATGAAAAGCCTAGTAACAAAGTCTCTGTAGATTTTGTATCTACTCAGCCATTTGTGTCATAACCACTTTCATATGAGTTACCAGAACAGTTTCTAATTACAGTTCAGTGACAAACCCACCATACATATTCCTCTTATACCTTTCTGCGCTCTGTATACTTATGCTTTTTGAAGTCCAATTTAAATATTATGTTCCTGTCCCTTTAAAACAATTAGCTAGTTTTAGATGCTTTCAGGTTTCAGAGCTTCTTGTTTTCATTAATTAAAAGCTTACATTTCTGGAGTGAAACACAAGCACTGTTCAATACAGCATAAGCTATGCTCCATCCTGCACCATTCTACACATTACTCACCAGGGCACAACAACAGTGCACGGAAAATATAAGGGAGAAAGTGAAGGATGCAGTTCTGTTGATAACATTTTGATGGAATACCAGCACTCAAAATAAAATACATACTCAGCTCAACAGTGACTCATACATTTGAAAGTGAATAGGAAATTTGTGTAGGCAGAAAGTAATGATCAATGTGAGAATTTTACAGGAGGAAGGAACTTTACTGTTAAGCCCCGCTTAAAGTCTGAAAAGGCTTTGAAAAGTTGTGTGAATTATGAAGTAAATTTTATTCTCCCACTTTTTTTGTTAATAGACAGGAAGGGTAGTTAGCATCCTGTTGTTTTTTTCCAGTTGCAGAAATTCACAATTTAGCAAGATAGCCAATCCTAGAAAGAGAAATAGAAAATAAAATATTTATTCCCAGACTGTGGTCAGTTCATGCAATTCTGATGGTCTCTGAAGCCACACAAACAGATCACAGAGCACCCAGTATTCCATGATTAAAGAGAAACTTACTAGTGGCCCATCTGTGTACTGATTGTGATTCATAACCATGGCCTATGACCAACAGTATTCAGACCAGAGCATATCAGAAGCCACTACACTGTTCTTTCACTTGGGTCTTGACTTGCCAGTTAAGTTGGCAGCATGTACTCCTCTTCCTCAAAACACAGGAGAGTGATCTGTTTTTCACCATCTTCTCTTAAGCATAAATTCCTTTTATGTGTCTGTACCGCCCCTTGTATTCTGCATGAAATTTTGACAAGGCTTGGAGGGTCTTTGACCAACCTGGCCTAACGAAAGGTGTCCCTGCCCACTGCAGGGTGGTTGGAACTGGATGATCCCCAATGTCCCTTCCAGCCCAACCCATTCTATGATTCAAAAAAACACCCTCAGACAAACCCAAAACCAAGGAAACAAGAAACAAAAAACAACCAAGCCAAAGACCCAGAAAACAGTGGAATAACCAATTCATAACACTAAAGCTTCTGGATTTAGGATTCATATTTCAAGCTTTGATGAGAAAACAGAGGTCTTTTGAAAACTGACTATATGGAAGTACTGTCCAAATGCAAATGACTACACAAGCAAAAACCTGTTGATGTTGGATTCTACTTTTGGATGACACTTTTTCTGATTTCAATGCACTGAACCATTTTCTAGCCTAATGATAAATTAATAGAAAAGGAGGAAAAATAGTTACTATTTATATGCACTTACAGAAGTGGAGTCCTTAGAATTTTCCCCCATCAGATAAAATCTACTTTAAACAATAAAATTTCCATGTGTATTTTTCACTTTCACAGTTTTTCACTGGCATAAAAAAATTCAGAGGTTAGAGAAAAAAACATGGGGAAGGTTTATTCTGTGCAGCTGAAAGTGTTGTAACATAAAAATAGAGGACCCCTGGAAAAATAAGGTTTGAATTGGGAAAAGAGGCAGTGAGACTGCATCTCTCTTCATTCTTTTATCCTACCATGAAAATACAAATAAGAGGGTAAAACAAAACTATTTTCAGAACAAATGTCTTCCATGTTTCCCACTCAGTTTAGTGGATAATTGCAGCCTGAGAATTGTTACTGTTGGTAGAATTCTACTGTTGGTAGAACAAGACAGATCAACCTAGCAAGGAAAGGATAGAAGGGTTTTTTTGGTTCTTTACGTCTCATTGTGCAAACCACTAAAAGTACAAAGAGAATTTTATCATGAGTTCAATGGTTTAAGTCCCTGAAAAAACAAAAAAGCTTGATTTGTTTTAAAAATCAAGATTTTCTTTGAAACAGAAAATCTAAGACAAAACAAAGGCTATAATGGAGCCTGCTAATGTAACTCCTAGGAATCAACCTCCCGCTTGGAGCATGGACAGCTCAATTTCAAATTTAGATCACAGTGAAGTACAGAGTATCTCTGACCTGTCTTTGCAATTTGTTACAGTTTTTGATCACTCACATTGTCAATCCTTTTTCCTAAAATCAATTAATAATTTGCCTTGTTGTAGCTCACAAACATAGCTGTAATGTCTTTATGGTGCACCTCTGAGAAGAATCTGGCTTTACGTTTTCTGCACTTTGCTCCTGGATATTTGCGACCAGCTTCCTTTAATTTTCTTTTTTTCCATACTGATAAAACCAAGTCCCTTAGTCTTTCCTGCCTTTTTCTTGAATATCCTGTGTTCCAGACCCTTAAACAGCTTGGTGGCCCTTCACTAATTCCTTTATTATAATATTTCTGGACTACTAGGGAGACCAAAATAGGAATAATATTTTGGATGCTGCATTCTTAGCACCAAGTGAAGAAGAATGACTGGCCTATTGGGTACCCTTTCTCATAGAGATTATATTCTTTATGTCTGCCAGGACACACTCCTGAATAAGGTTTCAATTGGCCACTGGGACATCTCAAGTGCTTTTTGTTAAACAGGTTGCTAGTCAGTGTGTCCCCAGCATTTGCAGGATATTGTGTTCAGCTTTGTTACTTCATAAAATCTCTGCCAGCTTCTCTCAGTTTGATACCATTTGAATAGGGTATTGCACTTCATCCCATTTTACAGGCCAGCAACAAAGACATTAAACAACATCAGTCTAAATATCAGCCCTTAAAAATGACTAAGATTAATTTATTTTTCCTAACCTGAATGTTACGATACCCCACATCAGGACATACTGTGGCTGTGGTGGGTCTTCAAGATGAAAATAAAGACACAGACTGTAAACAAATTATTTCATAAGAAATCATTGAATCCATGCAGAGAAGTCATGCATTTGGTGTCTAATTTGTCCCTGCTATGTCAAATACAGATTTTTTTTTCAGTACTGTTCAACATCCTTCCACCAATAAGGAATTACAAACAACTTTTTAATCACTTGTTTCAGAAGTGTGGTGTTTCAGAGTTCCATATGCCTTTTATTGACAGGGTTCAAGAACCTTAATTAGTTGATATACTCAATCAAATGAAATAATTATCCTTTCATAAGAATGCTTACTGTATGGGATATGGGAAGACAGTTATTCATATTGTATTCATATCCTAAGCATAAATAAGCACCCTGTACCCTTTACTGGTGATGAAGAAAAGGCAGCACAATGATAAGTCTGAGCTAATAAATATCAACTTATGGTGTCACAGGGTTTTGAGGTATCTCAGTTTGAGGGCAGACTACTTTTTAAAATATTATAGATGCATATGATTTATACAGTCAATACTGGTTAAACCACAGTGTTCCACCATGGTTGATTTCCATCTTCATGTATTATGTTCTAGACAAGCCAACAGTTCAGGCACAGAAGTTCTAATTAGAATTAGGAACACTTCCTCATGAGGGAAATTACTGTAGTGTGTGAGAGAACACTCAAGGCAAACTTATGTTGCTGTGGTAAAATAAAATGACACCTCAGATGTGGAATAAGCTATGAATATGAAAATATACTTTGTCAATATGACTGAAATTTCTCTAGAAAATTCTGTTGTATTAACTGTTATACTTGTAAGGAGCAGTGTATACTTGACCTTAGGGATATATTTTAGCTTTACATATACTGCTGTTTTTTTGTGTTTGTGAGTTTGTGTGTATACAGACATATACCTACATGTGTATGCTTTATTCAGAGCAATATTTTATTGCTTAGTACTTGTAAAGTACTAAAAGATTTTGAAAACTACATTGTCAAATTAGAAAGTGCCTTCAGCTTGATGTAGCAAAGTGATAACTGTTGCAAGTGCAGGTCAAGTGTGGAAAATTCCCATGACTCCAGTATCTAAAATGTTTTTAAAAGAAGAAATTCTTAAAATTTATTTTAACTGATGCTCAGGTAAGAAACTGTATTATAATTACAAAAGTATTTAGCATTCTTTTTCCTCCTTTTTTTTCAAAAAACTCCACTTTGTTACATTTTTTGGCCTATTTCATTGCTGTGTCTGGTTAATTCAGTCATGTTTCATTACCCTATTGACACAGCAGAACATAATATTACTGGTACAACTGAGTGTGTCAGATCAAAAATATGGTACAACAGCCTGGGAAATGAAACAATTTCTTTTTCTTTCATGTTAAAAAAAAAGGCAGAGATTTAATAAAACTCTGAAAACATTTAGTTAAAATGATATTTAAAACTTTAAATTTGTAATCTGTTATGGTTCATGCGTAAAACATTACATCTCCAGGCAAACACAGCATAAAAGTGCAGTTTCTACTTTGTTGTTAACAATAGAAATACTCACATAGACACCTGGCCGGCTTCCCATGCTTGGGAATATGTGACTTAAATCTGATCCATTCAGTACGTCCTTGTTCAACATCCACTGGAGTCATGCAGCTCCATGTGATTGCAAAGAGAAGAGAATTGCCACTTCACACAAAAATCTACCTCAGCTTCTCTCATTTCAAGGCAGATGTGCAGAACGAGCTGCATGCAAAATTTAAGAAAAATAAGGAAATTATATCACTGTAAGGAAAAAGTGATTTAAAGATAATGCTCAAAGGTGGTACATCTTTACTGTTACCTATGTTGTGGAAGGCTCTTTGTCCTTTATCTTCAGGAAAAGCAGAAGAATTGCAGACACATGGGAGATGGCAAATTACTTTCTTCATGGCAGCACAACAAAGACTACAAGAAAAAATGTTTTATTCAGTACTTTTCAGTACACAATATTTTAGTTCCATGGAAATTGGCTTTTGGGAACTTTCTGATTTTTCTTTGTTTCTGGCTATTGGTAGATTTCTGACAGACAAGCAAAAATTATGCTAATGGCAGAAATACTTAATGCAATAAATGTCCAAGAGGAGTAATGTACCAAAAGTGGCAGAGTCATGGTTACAACAATGTTGCGTTTTCTTGTGTGACCGTAATTATATATGTGGGACTCTAGGTGGACAATAATGCTGATAACCTGCTGTTTCTGGTCTCATTCAGGATAAATCTCTAAATTAAGATAATTTTGACTTCAAAAATGTGCCTCAGCAATGTTTTTACTCTATTTACTGACACTATCCTAATCAGATCTTCTTAGCTAGTACTTTGGAAGCTAGTTAAACAGTAGAAATTCAGTCAGGATTCTTTTTTTATTTCAGTTCCACTTATTGTACTGAGTTGAGATTTTTCTTTTCTTCATAAAGACACTTCAGTATTTGCAATTTTCTCTCAATCTCTTCTTTTGGAAGCAAGAAAACAACAAACCTTGAATATTTTACCAAACAGTGAACAAATTCATTTCTCTAGTGAACACTCTTCAACAAGACTTGTCTTTCTTATGCTTTACTATATTGAAACCAGTGTGGGAGTTGCAACCAACACTAGGGTTTTGCTGGAGCCACTGACGCCTTATGAACAAATCTTCTTGCCAAGTTATTAATTTGTATTTGTCAGCAATCCTACTGACCCCAAGACAACTTCTTGCCTGGAATTCGTGCTGTGGAGTATATATGGTCAGAATTCTGTTTTAATATGGATGTCATAAAAAATTAAAACTTTGAAGAATATGATTCTTTCATAAATGCCAAGGTAACTTTAGTTGAAAGATATTGTCTGTAAGATGTAACACCACTCTTGAAGATTGTTGTCTCAACAAGTTATTAGCATGAACCATATGCTGTGAAGATAACGGGACAGTATATTCCAAAAAGACAGTGAAAATATACAGCAAAATTTGTTGTATGATTTGCCTGTATGGTATTTTCAAAAAAACTGTGAAACATGATCCAAGGTTAATACTAATTTATTTGTGTCTCATGGACAGAGACACTAACTTCACTTTCTAAAAAGTGTGTTTATTGAGAATACAGCAGCCAAAAATACATAGTCACACACTATGCTGGTGTATTAACTATAATGAGTTCTATTATAAAAATCACAAGGTTAATTTTATTTCAAGACCACTATTTTAAAGTGATTTCTTTGTGTCAGGTTATCTATAATCCAACTGTGTTGTGGAGGAGATAAAAAAAAAGGTAACTAAATTAGAAAAAAGGTGCTGTATTAGCTAAGGAGACAGATCTGGACTGCTATTTGGCAACAATCTTCATGCTATTTAAGATGTGTTATGATGGTACTGCTCTATAGGAAGATTATGTTACTGACTACCTGTATATGTCACTACTTACGTTAAAAGCAGGGATATATTGGATTTAAAAAGTCACATGTTAACATACTATTCTAGAAAGTCACATAAGAACTCTGGAGCTTTAAGTTGATTTATGGTAAGTATACAGATGCAAAAAACCTTTCATCAACTGACAATGTCCTTCTTGTGACCGATGAATAATAAACGAACAAGAAAGAAAATGTATCTGCAACTTCCACAAATGCTGTGCACTCAACACATCTAGAACTAGAATACTAAGGAAGCAATGGATGGTATCTGTGAAACAGACTGAGCAAAGTGATAGAGGGATTCATATCCAGAAGATAAAATAAGGATGGGTAACCTTGTGAAGCAGGTCTAGACCACAAAAGCAGTAACACCCTCTATCTCTAGGCTTTCCTGCTCTTTTGCATAAATCTTCAAGAACTGAACCACAAAACTGTTTTATGAAGTGAAATTTTAAATATTAGTAGCTGCAGATGGGATTTGGAAAGGTTAAATCTAAATTAATTGAGGAACAAAATATTCTTTGGTTTTAAATCTGAGGGTTTTAATTCATATAAGCCCTGTATAAAATTTCACCTTTTGGCACTCCTTTGATCCAAAGGATGGCTGTGCTTACAGAGGTTACTGTAGTCCAGCTCAACCCACAGTGAATTCAGTTCTTATCTCAGTACTCTCCTCCCCCGCTACCTAATAGAAAAAGTCCACATCAAATACATACAGTGTAAATGCTAGATTAGAACACTCTTTTATTCCCTGTGACTTACAAAAAAAGGTAACATTCTGATACTATGACCTGATTCTGGAGGTGAGGGTAACTGAGGTTCTTATTAATAGATCCCTTGGGGTGGATTAGAATGAAACAACACTGAATAAATGGTGTTGATTTATTATGGCAGGCTTATTTTGGAACAAGTTGGTTGCAATGGAAAGGAGGTATTAGCCATTTTGGTTATTATCTAAATCAATCTAAAAGTACAAAAATATTGCTTAAGAGAATACATACAGAAAAGAAAGAGAAAAGAAAGGACAAGAGCACATAGTGGAGAGGAAAGATATCACTATCCATAGATCTAGGGACAAGACGCGATAGTTACAATTTCACTGACTGTTGGTTGAGGCGATGGTCACAATCTTGACCCATCAGGGTTGGGGGAAGACAACAAAACACAAAGTTTAATGGGTTATACGTGCTCAGGTTCAGGTGGGAATGCCCAGCAATGTCCAATAGTGGGGGAAGTTTTACACTGTGTGATGTAACACTGTGGATCCTTCACAGTCCTCTGGTGGAAATGAGTCTGGGGGCACTTAGGGGTCTTTGATGGGTTATGAATCCTTCTAAGACATGACAGCTGCCTCTCATGTCAGTGTAGCCAGTTATGCTCCATCAGAGGGATGAACCCCTTCAGGCCTATGCATGAATGTGAATGTCCTGATCCTTCCCCTGGAGGGGTGACTCTTACACCAGAGGCAGTTGTGTAAGGGCAGACATTGGCATGATAGCAAAGCATTATCCCACCTCTTCTTATGTTTCCCTGTCTAGCTAAAATGACAGCCTGTTGCTAAACAAAGGCTGATTTGGAATGGTCATTCTCTGGTGGCTGGTGTGCATCCCCTCCTCCCTGGGCCATTCTTATGCAGATCAGATCTCACCATCATACACAAAAAACTCTGCTCCTCCACTCTTGGGCTGGGGTCTGCAAACCTGGCCCCACCAAAGCACCCTCTGCTTTTGCAAATGACCAATTTTTTGAGTCATTAACGTTTAACATTTCAATCTCTCAGACGTGGCACACCTCAGAATAAACTGTACCGAGTTAATTTCTGTAAGATGATTGTAGCTGGATGTGCACTGTGGACAAGGCAATCCTAGTCAGCTACTTTCCATTTTTTTTCCCTGAAAAGAAGGAAATTATACAGGATAAGGATAAACCATGCAATTACAGGAATGCAGTCCAGATCTTAGTAGCTACAAAATAATATTCATAAAACAAAGGTCTCTGCCTCTCTACCATCTCTTAGATAATTTTTTCTACAACTAATTGTCAGTTATTGCTTTATTATTTGAATTAATTATTTTTGTTGTTCTTCAGTTAATTACATATTAATCCAAAATCAGTTTGGCTGGAAACAAAATACTTTAGTGTACAAAACATTAGATAATTTTTTATGCTGCATTAAAAAGTTTTAAAAGTTGACCCTATTACAGGCCAATAAAAATTGGATGGGCTGGGTTAGATACAAACTGTTCACAAGCTTTCAAAATTAGTTACAAATTAAAGCTTTGGTCAAGACAGCATTTTAAACAGATGAGAGCAACCTTTGAAGATTGTCCACATTTTGTGCTTTGCTCATCAGAAAGTCTTCTTTCTATACTCCTTTCTATACTCCTTTCCTCCTTATCAAAAACTTTTGAGAATTGACTGGTGACTGGAAATAATATATAGGTTAAATTCTGCTTTATTCTTATCCTTATACTTCAGGCTTTCCCAATGATAAGGTTAAATTAGGGAGGTGGGAGCAGAATTCCTGTCTCCTGTTCCCTCACAGAGGTGCTGGAATGAGTAACAGGAAATGTCCAACCTCTTCAGAACTTCATTGCACCTCCACCCTGTGAATGTCTCAGTCAATTCTGAATAGGTGGTACGAGGCTCTTAATAAACAAAGCTTGACTTTTTCATTCACATATTGGCTACTGTAAAGTGTTTGTCAGATATCCTGTGAGAAAGATTTCAGGGCTGTATATTGCTTGTATTGTGCTTTTACTGATCAGTTCTGATAAATTCTGATTACCTGTGTGATCTGCTATTGTCTCTTGACTCTTCTGACATAAATGGTGGTTTTTGTGTTATGAAATACAAAAAATAGTAGTACTCAAATTCTAGTCTTCAGAGAAGTCTGCAATAACAATCAGACTGTTTAGGAAGAAGTCCTAAGTGCTGAAATATTTGGAATTACACATCCTGACATTAGTCCAAGATATTGTAGATTACAACTCAGATATTTTACTGGCAGTAGGTAGGTCATATTTACATAACTACTGAATTTTTACTATTTTATTTGTGAAAAAAAAAATTATAATATTAATTATTTTAGTACCACTACATGTATTTCACCTAGTGTTATTTCCTAAATAACAAACAAACAAACAAAAAGTAGGATGTTAGAGAAAGGCCAGCAACAGGATGAGAAAAATAGATTCTGTACTGTCAAGCACCTAAAATGAGAAATTCCAAGTTCCCCTTTCTGAAATACTAACCCTTTGCTTAGGAGTAGATTTTGTGTTCTTAATGCTGGAAGAGAAGAAAGTTTAAACTTGTGGTAGCGAAACAAATACACAATTTTAAAGTTTCAGATATGGTTTAATACTATTTCAGGGGTTGAACACCTGCCTATTCAAAATTGTAGTACTAATCTACCTGTCAAAATTGTATGAAACTACTGAGATCGTCAACAAAGAAATACAATCTTTTATTTTTTTTTTCCCTTGGGTTAAATGCACTGTGAAATTTATGAGGTGTGCAAAATTTTGCATTACAAGCATTATAATCCAAGAAAGACATTTTGTGTACAGCTTTATTTGAAGTAGATAATAGCATCTGCCATGATATACACTGCTGAAGAGAATTATATTCTTTTAAATACCAGGAAGAAAATTAATTTTCCTGTCTAAAAGGGTTTTGGGGAAACATAAATGACACTTCATCATGTTAGGTGGTATATTTTTTATGTAATTCAAACATCTTAACAACTGAAAATCAGGTCTAGGGTTTTTTTATGTACATTTTTAAGGTGATTTTATTCCCATTAGAGATACCTGGCATTTACAAAAGAGTGTTTTCTAAAAATCCTTGTGAAAAAATGCATTTAAATTTTAAAATAAAATCAAGATTCACATGTGATTTCACTCTAAATATTATGTTATATAATAATATAATATAATTGATAGTTTCAGAAGTCCAAAGCCAAATAGAGATCTCCAAAATTATTATTTTAATATCTATTTTCCATTGTTTGCATTTCAGTTTACATTCTTTAGATTTCTGTAACCTGAAATTTATGCCTTCTTTATGTCATAGGTGACTGCAGAATAGACATCTAAACAGAATGTGATCTGCTGTTCATACAATACAAGGTAATTTTAAATATTAACCGGAGAATTTCTTCATACTTGAATTCATTATGTTCATATATGTAATAAAGCAAGGAAACATCTGTTTTCTGTTTAGGGTGCAATTAATTTTTGATCCCTAAATTCCTCCTCTCAGAAACAGGTATGGAGTTAAATTGAATTATGGTATCCTGATGAAGACAAGGCCATTTCTAGTTTTAATATGAGTAACAAATCTTATTAAAAACACCTGGAGATTGTCAAACATATTATGTACTCTTGTATTAGATACAGTAACCATTTTTAATACTGAAACATACAGTCTGATTTAAATCATCTAATGCCTTAAAAATAGATTCCATGTCATTAACTTATTCCTCTTTCCTTGGACATTTTGACCTGACATCCTCTTGTGCTCTGTTTGAGAAGACCAACTTAACAAATTTTATTGTTTTAAAAAAGTCCTTTCACTTTTTAATGGCAAAGAGATGAAATACACTGTAATAAAGAGAAATATGCAGTCCATGAGTTTCAGTCTGTCAATTGCAAAACAAAACTAAAAGTGATATTTCACATGAGTGGTTCTTCTAGCATCTGTAAAGGCATTGATTAACTTCTTTCCATTAACTTGTGATCTCATCATTAAGCATAAATAATGCAGGGACGGCTGTTGCCAGTGGTTCATTTTTCTTCCTTACCTTCCATTCCCCAAGTTGAAGCTTTCATAAAAGATCTGTAAAGGAAATACACAGCACAGTCTATATGCAAGTTTGCCTGGAGTATGAATGAGAGTATGTGTTTGTGTGCTTAAAAATAGCAGAGGTGTTTAGGGATTTAGCAGGCTTTAGACAAATGGTGAACGTGCAACTTGTCAAGAGACTGAAAGCAGTCACCCATGGATAACAGCAAGGCATCGAGCCAAGTGTTGAAGATAAGCTTCACAAGAGCTAAATCCACAGCAGAGTTGTGGGGTAATCTCAAAGTGATACTGCTCATCATGGCCCCGTGCCTCTGTCAAAACCCTTAAAGGCTGCAAAGAGCAATGTCACTCAAGATGAGCCTAGAAGATATCAAGAGGAATCAAGGTGAATAATTTTCTGTCCTCCATTCCATCCTGTGTAACAATGATCAAAATATTAGAACATACTTGTCTCATATTTTTGAATGTGAGTATGAAACTGTGACTGCCAGTATTGGTAACTTCTATGATAAAAAGTATCTAATTCCTCTGTACCATGTCTTTTTAATTTTGGACATTATTTAAACATACACATAGCATAAGATTGATAAATTGGAAGAATTATGATATAAAAGTGATTTTTTTTTCTGTTCCCATGGAGTTCTGTGTCACATTTTCAGAGGAATTTACTTATACATGAACTGCACATGCAAAATTAATTAATTCAATCCTTGCTTCTCTGGACCATCAAGAGTGGAGAACAATACAAGAAGAGGACAATTTTTAAAATGCAGATTCCCAAACCAAGTAAAAAGTGTTATGAGAGTGGAGCTTTTTTACTGGTAGTTCCAATTCAACACAGAACTCTCATACCCACACACTGTAGCTAAAAAAGTTTTTTATAATTATTCTCAAATTCTTGAGTAATTCCTTTTTCTATTATCAAAATATATGTCTAAATATTAAATGTTTAAAACTTTTTGGACTGAATAGATTAGGAATAAAAATTAATCAAATTGAAAAGCTGTTCAGCACTTAAAGGCCAAAGGATTTTTCTTTGTAACATAGCATTGCCCAATCAGCTTCTCCACAGAAAAATGTAAGTGATCCTCTTAAATATCCTGTGTCAAATCAAAAAAATACATTATTAGAAAGTATTAGAAAGATTATTGATCTGTCAAGTAAAATGACTGTGTTTCATCAGTTCTTCCTGTCTCAATATTTGGTACTAATTTTCCTCCTAGCAACAGCAGGATCGATGTTTCTCCTTTTAGTAAAGTTTACCTGTTTCTTACTAGGCAGTGATGCACCTTTCGGTCTGTGGAATTAATTCTTGAAAATTATAAGCCTAGTAAACAATTGTGAAACAAATCAGATAAATTATAGAGGACCCACAAGGAAAAATAAGGTACCAAGGAACAATAAAACTCTGATGATATAAAGATGATCAGAAGCAGAAACATACATACTTATGAGTGTTCTTATCACTTCAACAGAAACTCACAGAGTGCTATGAATTACAGGATAAGAAAGAGAAATCTTGTCTTAATGCCACAGATAATTAATAACAAAATCTTCTGAAATAAGTACATAGGTTTTTGGTTTTTTGGTGTTTTTTGTTGGTTTTTTTTTTTTTTTCATTTTCAAATTACCTGTGAAATTCTTACTCCTAAAAGAACATTTTTGACAAGCAAAAATAGTCTGGTCTACTTTAATAACACAGCAGCAAAGCCATTGCATCTGCATTATGTAATAGAGGAAAGAATTTTGTCCAAATGTATACCTAATTTTTTGTACTTCTAAAAGTTTTAGAATCTTCCTTTACAAACATTTGATAATGGTTAGTATATTTATTTCTTTATATTTATGGTAGTCATTTAAAAATGGGCAAGAATATTTTGAACAATATTCTTGCCCATTTTTAAATGACTACCAATTCATAGCATTGCTGCAATGAAGATTTTACTCAATCTCAGATCTGATAAATAACTTTTTAAAACTCTCAATACACTCAAGGAAATAAAAGTGCTTCAGAGACCTTTTCTTACACGCATTACTGCCACATCTAGGAGGATAACAATAGATGTTTGATGTGGCTCAATAATATTTATATGACATCTTCCAACAGGAAGTGCAAGAAAACAGTTTCTGGGAATGATGAAGGTGAAAGAGTTTAAGATATTGTCAGAGCAGCAAGAGCAACATCCTTTTTCTTGAAATTGCATAAGATCAAACTTTGCACATTCAAAGTGGATCAGAGCCTCTAGGGTATGACATGTCTTGATTCAAAGGAATGATTCCAAGTTGGCAGTTTCATGAAATGATGCAGGTATGAATAATGCAGACAGCAAATGAGTAGTTAACATACATTTTATGTTTATTAATCTCTCCTCTGACACATCATTAGGGGCATTCTTGAGACTTTGCCTTTTGATTTTACAAAGTCTTGCCAGAAAATATGTTCCTTGGGAAGTTCTCTCTCATCTAGAGAATCTGCTTTGGAACACCTACACAACCCACAGTACAAAACCAGCAACTCCTCCTGAGCCAGCTTTACTCTGTATATTCTTCATAATTGGTGTTTTGGACCTTCTCATATCATGCACCCCAAATCTCCCATTCAAGATTCCACTTTCTGCAGACTGATGCTTCCTCTTAATCCTCTTATTCCCTGAATTTCCTGCCTTAGTCTACCTTCACACCTACATTTTACCTTCATTCTCTTATCACAGCATTACTTTTTTTTTTTTTTAACAAGGTTTTTTTTGACAAGCTTTTTATCTGCTCTCTCTTCTGAACTCCGCTCTGCTCAGCAGCATACCCACAAAGGCACTGGACAGCCTTTGATCTGCCTGCTATGTAAAAGATAATTTCAACATTAAATATATTTGTATTTTAAACCAACAAAGTGAGAGCTTATGAAGTAACTGTAGTGATTACAATGGTATTTCTGCTAGCATTTTCTAAGATGCTAGATGCTTCACAATGTTTAAAGTTCTCACTAAAAATCCTGCTGGAGTTATTAAGTTAGTTTTAACCTCATTTGACTGTTCCTAAAGAAATTAAAAGAAAGTACTAATCCTGGAGAAAAATATTAAGTATGTATCACATTCTGCAGAATGTATTTATTGTTACACTTCTTTTTGTAAAAATATAAGCATACTGTTAGTTCATTTGAAGGTCATCAGCATCAGTAATACAAATGCTTCACAGTTTTTATAAATCTCTGTTGCCAAGGTGCTTCTGCAATACACAGAAAAATTATTGACCCTCAAATGGCAAACACTTTGGCAATTAGTTTCAAGTCATACCCTGTAAACATTGCCAAATAGGTATCTCTTATAACTATCAGAGTTTTGAGACTTAAAAAATTATGCCCAAAGAATAGAGAAGAGTTGACCCAATAAAGCAGTTTGTGACAGAACAGTACTGGAGGACAGACAAGTACAAACCTATCTTAAGAATTACACAAATATTCATACTATCCATCATATTCTTTAACATGCCAATTCTGACATAACACTTTCAGTTCTTCTGGCCAAGCCACAGGGGTAGGAAGAGTAAAGCATAAAAAGTAGTGACTGGATAGAAAACTTTATGGATGCTAGAGATTGTGACACAAGATCCACAAAGAGAAACCAATTAAAAGAAACAATCCCTCAGCATAATACTGCACTGGATTGTGTGGTGTGTTCTGTGTCCATGTCCTGCTCTCCATCACAGCCCATAATCATCTTACTAAGATATTTGTTGTGTTCAACACTAGGAGGAGCCTCTCTGATTTGGTAGACTCCTTGTTTTTCAAGGAGAGCACAATGTGACTCAAGGGGCTTCACCTTTCTATTTCCCCTCACAAGCATTAACTTCACATACCTCATATAAAATTAGTTGGTATTTGATATTCACTGTCACTGGAGCTACCTCTCCCTACAATAATATCAGGTTTTGTTTCCTATCTTCTCTTTCAGTTTTGATTCCTGTATCGTTTTCCACCCTTCACACCTTTTTGCAGCACTTTTAACAATTATTAGCAAACTGGTCTAGTAAAAGATACCTTACCCATGGCATTGGGGTTTGAAATAGATTATATTTAAGGTCCTTTCCAAACCAAGCTTTCTATGGTTCTATGAAATCAATTTATGACAATTCCCCAGAAATCTGTTTTGCTCTTTGAAGAAACAAAGAGCTCAGATTTAGTGAAACACCTAACTTTTGTTCAGATTGTTGAGATCATTACTCAAGAGTCCCATCAGAGACTCTTGTTCAGATTTCCTGCACTTTATATGCTAGCCTTTTATGATCTGGGCTTCTGAAATTGTCATTAAAATAATAATGCTTTATTGAGCCCATGATTCCTTTATTTATCTTGCTGTTTCCTGATTTTAATTACAACAATTGAGAAACTGAAGTGTTTCATTTGTTGGACTAAATAACAGCAGCTGTTTGTAATTAAAACATTCAGAAGATAGGTTGACTAGACGGCACTTACATAAAAGGTGTAGCCTAGTGTTTTCCCACTAAATATTTCCGGTTGATAAAGATTTGATATTGAAAATTACTATTTAAAAAACCCAACAAAACAAACAAAAACCCAAACCAGAACAAAGCAAATAAATACAAGAAAAAAACCCCAAAAACCAAAACAACAACAACAACAACAAGAAAGCTAAAAAACAACTGAAAACCCCAACCAGACCTCTAAATAATGTTAATGGAAGGATAAGTGTAATATAATTTAAGAGGAATCATTTTGGATTTAACTATGTTTGCCAGTGCATAAGATACTTACAAGTGCTACTTATGTAGTCACCTACTGTGGCCTCTTGACACTGCAGTTTCTCTTGTTAGAGACTCATTTCATGCCCATGCTTCTGCCACTGCCTTCTGCATTATGGGTGGTGGAGAGTAAAGCAGCAATGTCACCTGAGAGACTGAGAAAAGAAGACAAAAGTGAATGAAGCAGAGATTTCAGAAGACACTTGGATTAACCTAATTTTTTTTTTTTCAAGCAAGACTTTTTTTGACAATGGTCAATTATACACAAGAAATTATGATAAATCTGTCATCTCTTTTCCTTTAATTTCCCCCTTCTTCCCAATGACAGAAAACAGGGAACTGCTTGAAACCTCAAGAGGATGCAGCTGGCAGACAGCTGAGCAAGATGTTTCTGAAGAGTTGCTTATTTTCTGAACAATAGTTTCAGGTCAAATGAAATTACTTAAATTAATCTATAAAAGGAGACTCTTAAAAAATTCTAAAATGAATTTGAATAATGAGCAATTTTTACATTATTGTGTTCTGATAGCTCCCTTTTGAAATGTTCCTGAATTACTTTTGTAAGGGTGGTGAGGCAAGGAAAAAATCTTGACCTACATTAAATCTATTTGTTTATTTAAACTGAAAATATATGCCATTCTATTTGTTGGGTACTCTTTAAACAAATAATGAATGATATTTATCCACATCCAGGCAGCCAGGCACCAAGAAACAGTTCTGAGCTGTGCTGGTGATCATGAAAATATTCTGTCTGTTTGTTCAACCTGCTCCAGAATTTCACAGTTTTTTTATGCATTAACCTCATTTAATTGTGGTTTCCTCAAAATAACGAATAACTACCTAATTCCTACTGAAATAGATGCTCAAGCCAGCTTCTTTTCTGAATCTTTTATCTATTAAAACAAATGTAAAACAGTTGAAGTTTGAAAGTCAGTTGGGGCAGGGATGAGAAAGCAGTATGAAAATAGCATATAACAAAACATGGTGGGGTTTTTTTTTTTTAATTTCTAATGATCTGAAATAGTTGAAATATAAGAAAACATTTCAATTAAACTATGACAGATGTCTTTTACATGATTGTATGGTGTTAGTCACAGCATGGATCAGCAGTGAAAACTTGAAATTTTTGTGCCCTTATTACTTTTTCTGAAAGGTAGACTCTCTCTAGACTCAACCCATTAAAGAGAATTATGCAGGGCTTTCTCCATCCCTTTCAATCAACTAAGTATGTTCACATCTGTTTTGAAAGAGAAAATTAGTTTTATAGCACAAGGGTAATGATAGGATAATTGTTTCTTATGAGTATATAACCTTGAAAGAAATAATAATAGGGAATCTGTGTGTTCTTAAAGCTAATTTTGTGTCAACTTTTTCTTGATAAACATTACTGTTATCCAATGTAGCACAATATTTCTTTTGTTTAAACATGTTTTCATATACCATTAGACAAAATTTCCTTATTTCGCACAAAGATTTATTGTTTATTACAGGCTTTAAATTTACAATTCCCTCTGAATATTCAACAAGTTTGTCCTGGAATGATATAAGCAAGCATTATACAAAATATTTTCATGCTTTCTCTTAGTTTATCTTTCATGTTCTTTATTTAATTCATCCTTACACTTTAAAAAAAGACACTGAATTGAAGTTATTTAACAGGAAAGCTGAAATTTGAAACAACTTATTTATTTACATATATCCTTTTTTCCCTGACAGATTGGATTAATGTATTTTTGATCAAATGCTTATTAAGCTACACATCTACACATTCATTCTGAATCTTAGGAGATATATCTTGTGTTTACAGAAGTACGTAAATAAAACATCTAACTCTTTTTCACAGAACATCAAGAGAAGAGTATAATTTTTTGAAAGAGGGGTGAAAAAAATCCTGAGAAATAGCACACGTAATTTGTGTGTGATTTTTTTTAAATTACAAAAAAAAGTTTGTATTTTTACAATATACAAAATTAATATATTAATAATATTTAGTAGAATTACTATTCCTGCTTGTTAACAGGAGTGTAGTTCATAAAAGATAAGGCTTTTTCATATAGGTATGTTCTATTTGAGTCAGTCAGAATGAACCAATATGAATGTGTTATAATTTGCATGTTTCCTTTCAAACTTAATAATCATAAAGATAAAAGCCAACATTGTAGTTCAGAAACTGCAGTTGTCTGGTCTTCAAATCTTCACAGAGTTCTAGTTAATTAAATAACTGCATCCTCTTATCTTTAGCAGGCTTGTAATTTAATGCAATAATTTAGCAGAAAGTTAAGTGAGAGTACAAATATTTGGTGGAATTTAACTATCTATTTAACCTAAAATTGGCTGTTACACGTAATCATATTAGATGTTTTTTCCTAGTCATATTCCTGTTGTGCTGAGGTGCAAAAAGACTAGAGATCATCTTTATGAAATGGGGTTTATGAATTTTAACAGTGTAGTATGTTGCAGAGAGACATGCTAGATTATTGGCATGAGAAAGATTAGACTTCTTCATATAGTCTCCTTTTTAAAATACATCAGCCACAGCTGAATAAAATGCAACTTACTGTCAACCTCTGCTATAACCGCTGAAGGTGTTGAAATGAGCTGAGTCCACAGTCAGTTTCTTTTAGAGCAAGAATAAACTAATCCATTCTGTCAAAAATAAGGATATTAATTACTTTGACCTCTCAGTATGAAGCAGGTAATGAAAGGAATGGAGGAGTAAAAGAAGATAAAAAAATTACACAAGAACAAAATGTAGAATTGTCACTGAATTTTGAGTTAGGACCCAGATTTAGGACCCAGTAAGATCTGAGCTTTGCAATTGATGTATCTGCAGAACATAAACTGGTTCCCAGAACTGTGCCCACTGTTTCCTGGGACACTTAACATATATGCACATGTGCAGCTTCATGTGACATCAAGACAAAGGCCTGAACTTAATGCAGCTCCCAAGCAAAGAGGGTCCATAGACCACACCCTGACAGATATTACCCTTTGCCGTTAAATCTTGATTTTCATAGTGTAGGAAGGTAATGTATTTTAAATTTCCAAAAGTAGTGTCATTCTGGCATTTTTCTAGCATAATCTATTGCCTAAGATCGTCCTGAGGTACAAAATGTTCCTGAGGAAAAGTTCCATAACTCTGTATTGTGCTAAAAGAAATTTCTGTTCCTTTGAAAATAGCCAGTAGCTATTTATTTATTCAAATCATAATATAACACCTAACTTCTTAACTTATTTTCTATTTCACATGCAACTAATCTAAGTTTTGCCCTGTAAACTCTCATATTGTGCCAAACAAAACCCAAAGGATGTTAAAAAGTATGTCACTAAAATGGAGATCAAAGAAGAGCAAAGCTACAATAACGTCTTAGGGCCTTAGAGCCACATCTCACAATTAACCTGTACTTTCTGGAGTTATATACTACCATAACTTGCAACAGCTTCCTGCTGGAGTACAGAACGAAAGGAAGCTAAATGGTTCTTGACTTTTTTTACATACAGCCAGAAAGACACCCATCACAAATTTGGAAATATTGATAAAATTAAAATAATAATTACCTAACTCTCTCATTGTTAAGATTATAGAAAACAAACTTACTTTTCAAGGTGTAAGTCCAAAGGCAACATTGTCAGCTGGGGATGAAAGAGAAAAAAATTTAATGTTAAAATATATTTTCTCAGAAAGATTTTCAGTTTTACTGCAAATATGATTTGTATAAATATATGAGCCCAGAAAGACATTTAGCCATGAAAACCGAATTTCTTGCTTCTTTCTGTTGAGAAATATTTTTATCCATGAAGTATACTGACAAATTGAATACACAATAACTCTACCAAATACACATTGTTATCAAATATAAACACAGTCCATCTATCAAAATACAAAATATTGATATGAAATAGGTTTTTTTCACTTTCACTTCTTTTCTCAGTTATTCTTGAAAAGGTTATTTACATTCCTGCTATTTAATTAGCAGTACCTCAACAGAAGAGCATGTGTCACTACAATTTAGAAGTAAAAGTAGATGAAATACTAAATACCTAGATACTCTGGATTTGTAACAGAAGGTGATTAGAGTGAGCTTGAAGACAATCCAGGATCTAAATGACATTGTGAACAAATTTTTAATAACCTTATATTTCAACAGGACAACATATGGTTTCACATGGATTTCAGGAAAAAAAAAGTGGCCCATGTCATTATTATTGAATGACAAGGTGCCTTTTTGTAATCACACTTTATCTGGTAAATGTGTGATGCAGGATTCATATCAATTATTCACTGACACAGAGAATGTAAGCATACAATAGTTATTGCTCTAAAGGATTTGTGTGCACTACATGAGTGAATGGCCTGGAATGGCCTGAATCCAGTGAATTTGTCCTGCTCTTTCAGCTTAGAGATGGTAGCTGACACATCACTAGAAGTGATAGATAAGAAATAGATAAGCAGGAATATAGCTACTAATCTAAATGATTGTGCTAGCAGTTAGGGAATTACTCACCAGTTAAAACCCATGTGTTCTTTTACACATATTTAACAAAAAAAGCTTCGACTTTAAGTCAAAATTGTTTTTAGCATGTATGTTCTTTCCTCATTGAGCACTGCCTCATTATCAACTGTGATCACATTCTAAAATAACCTTTTATTATTAAAGATCTTATTAACATGGGAAATGTTCACTGCATTTAGAGACCACAGCTTGAAATGTTCTAGCTTCAAAATGAAGAGTGTAACTACAAGTGTCAAATGTAGACGTGTGGACAGATGATTTTTCAGTTTAATCAATCTCAAACCAAGAGGTATCAGTTGCTTTATGTCAAACAAGTTAATATATAATGGCATTACTTTATGCACTGGTTAGTATGTCTAGTACTATTAGAATAGCATAGTAGTATCTATGTCTCCAGATAAAGAATTTACAGAAAAAAAAAGGATGAGTTCATTCTCAAACACAAAATAAAATGAGGTGCTAATAACACTGGCAGCAAGAGCAGCTGATGCACATAGTCCCTATTACCAGACACTGACATTGTATATGGAAAAACTTATCAGAAAGACTTGTAAGTTTTTAAGAACAAAGAGAAAAACGGAACCATTTAAAATATGCTGTCCTTGATGAGATTCTATAGTCAAGACCTTGTGAATAGTTTACAATGGGACAGTTGAATTTTTTCCTGAGTGGAACAGGGCACAGGCATGAAAGACTTGCTTCCCTTCGCACGCTCATGAGTTACTTAGTCCTTCATCCTGCCTGCCCTACAACATTCCAGTGAATCAGAGTGCTGAATTTTACATCTGAGCTTCAGCAAATCCAGAAGGCGATTTGCTATGAACAGTGAAATATGTAATAGCAAAAACCCCCAACCAAGACCAAAGAAAACCAAACCAAACCCCTACAACACAAAACCTGCCCTGCAGTAGCCTTTTCAGATTAAAACTTCCATGACAGAAAAATAGAAATTAGTTCAGAAATCAGTGAAGACTTATGAAAAAGGGAGATGTCTCTGCAGAATAATTAGCTACTTCAAAGTAGTAATTATTTTTTAAGTCTTTCTTTGCAATTCATTGGTGTTTTAAACAACTTGTTTTTCCTTTTGTCCTATTTGACAGAAATTGGATTCCATTTTTTTTGTGTTATGCTTCTTCATTTAATAGAAAAATATTTTTTACTGGTAAGTGCTCAACTGAGAAACAAATATTGAAATGTCTGGTTTTTAGAGTCTTTTTTCATTTGTAGCAAAGCACACAACATTTTCAATATTTCTTACAAAAAAAGCATATGATTGTTTAGTGCACTGCAGGAATCTTGATGAGAATGAAACACATTTACAGAGAAAATATGAAGATTATATTAAAAATGACATCTAACAATGTCATCTGCAAATATTGATATACTTTACATAACATTTCCATTTTGCACTGCAACAGTGCAAACACCAGTTTAAACAACCAGAAAGATTAATGTATGCAAGAGAAGCTGACCATCCTTTCTGACTTTCTGATAGGTAAGGAACATAAAACTTGACCTGTATCCTAAACAGGGAGTAGGTGCATGAAATTAAAGCCATGAAAGAAAACACTATGTATCACATACTTTTCTTTTTCCTTAACCTTTTATTCATCACTACAGATTCTACATAAGCACATAAATGCACATGAAAATATATGTTACTTTTCTCATTAAAATGTGTGCAAAAGATTAAAAAACCCACCTTGCTAAGCTTACAGTGTGTTTGATGAGTACAAAAAACTTGAATACTGTTTTAGGAAAAACATGTCTGAAAGTTACCTAGCCAAATTTGCTGTGAAGCAATTTTTAATATCTTCCCTCCCCCCTCAAAATGTTTTTAACTAAAACAAGGAATTGCCATTAAAATACAGAGCACTTTTCTGTAAGTGTGATGCCTGTTTCTTTTTAAAGTCTCAAATATGATGTAGCAAAGTGATCAAATATGCTCTATGCATTCCCTAGAATGTTAGTACAGATTTTTTCAGCAGCTTATTATGTGTGCTAATATCATAACAATCAGAAACAGGGAATGAGGAATTCTTTGGCAATAATGTTTAATGCCTAACCTTTTATCTCTAATAAGGAGAAAAGGCTTAAATAAGACAAATTTCCACATCCTCTACAGGCTTAAATACACTGGATGAGGTGGAAAACTCCAATTATTGCATTCCTGATAGGCACTTGTACTCATTAGTGGGAATTTTCATTCATCACTGGGGAATAATTGATTTTTAAATTTAGATATTCCACTGTCCATCTTCCAACATAAAGGAAAAAAATATTGCTATAATAAATCCCAGTAACAATAACTGTCTGAAAAAAAGTCATTACTGTAGTTAATATTGCATCGTTAAATTATAGTTCTTCCTTTACTTAAAAATATGAGTTTTTAAAAATCCAAATAATTAGTAATCAATTTATTTTATTTAGAAAGTTAAAGGTTAATTTTCTTAAATATACTGAAAGTAATAAAACACTGTAGATATATTAATCATACAAAATACTCTAAGAAAATCTATTTTTTCTGCTGATGGTATTTTGCTGCACCTCTTTATCCTTCAGTTTAATTAGTGATGCACAGATGCAAAGAGAATAAATCCATGCCATTAAAAACTTGTATACATCTGGATAATTTGCAGCACTGTAAATCATTAACCAATAATGCAATATAATTAAAAAAAACCTTTGGGGCAGACTTTCAAAGGAATTTAAGTATTTGTGGCAGGTAGGATTCTACTACAATTTTCAGGAATTTAAGCATCAATTCCACTGAAGAGTCAGTGACAATTAGAATTCTGCAGAGTTTTGAAATACCAGTAGGTATTATTTTACATGACTTGGTATCTAAATGGTTTTAAAAAATCTGATGGCTTATTAATCCCTCTTGAAGAAGAGTAGTTTGATTTTATGGCCATAGGCCCATAGAAAAGTTAGTATAAAATAATGAAGATGGGCATACATAGGGTTGCAGCTGTAGCATGGAAAATACCAATGTATTTTTGCTCACAGTCAATAATGAGCTGGCTTGCTACAGAGGTATGTATGAACTCTCTACACTCTACAGACACATGAGCGCTGGGGGATAATTTGTGTTAATGATTTTTATTGTAATACTGAGTAATGATTACAGAGTATATCAACAAACAGCAGTCAGCTTCACAAATGTAAAAAATAGATCCAGGCATTAAATGTGACTTAAATTAATAACAAACTTATCTCATAAATAGCTTCAAGAATTCAAAAATATTTCTTTTTACTCTATTGAGACAGATAAACAGAAAATCAAAGCACATACCCTCTACCAAGTGTTCAATTTCTTCCTGTTAAACTTACTCTACCCATTTATCCTTTTTTTTTTTTTTTTTTTTTTTTCCTAGCCTGCATAGAACTTTTGGCTCACAGCATTCAAATGGAACTCCATGCAGCCTGGCAAATGGAGCTTTAAAAGTAGCCTCAGTCTCCTGCTCCTTGCCTATATGAAAAATCTATCCTTAAACTGGCACTGTTTCACTGCATTGCAGACATCTTTTAAAACTTGATGTATTGCCTTTCTTCCATGAGGAGATAGATACTATGTGGAGAGTCAGATTGGAAAAGAGACTGGTAAAAAAAAATCTATTAGAAATCTTAAAATTCTTCTTTTCCTGTAAGCTCAAAGTAATTTTTCTGCAGTGAAATACTCTTGAAGCTGCAGTGAAAATATTCTGTATTCTAGTGGCATTTTGAAGGGGTGATAGCAATGATGGGATGGAAATCAAAGCATAAAACTGCAAGGAGAAATAACTGTATAGTTTATTTCCAGGGTAATGTTTGTACTAGGATGCTCTAGGGAAAAAAAAAATTAATAAATAGCTCCATTTTCATATACAATACTATTATAATATAGTCCATTTGCTTTTGTAAACCCACCACAAGGCTTTGGATGACAGGTAATTCACAGGTTCAATATCCTTCATTAATTGATTCTGAATGAAATAGGGAGAACACTAATCAGAACTGATTTCAAGTGCTGTTTACCTGAGGGAGTGAAAATGGTATCTTCTCCCAAGAGGAAATGTTAATATTACATTAAAAAGATAAGCCCTGTGATATCCTGGGTGTCTCAGGAGAAACAGGAGTTTAATAACCTGCAAAGTATTTCCCTGCTGAGGTAGAACACCAGGAATACAGAGCAAATTTTAAGGAAACCACTTGACTGCAGATGTGCAGAATAGTGGCTCTCTTCCCATAGCACTCTGTTCCATTCTCCCAGCCTTATTTTTTTTCCCACTACAGAAAGGCTGGTTGCCCATCTTTACTCAGCTTGATACAGGATTGATAAAGGCAGTTTGATAAAGTCAAGTGCTTTGGATCCAAGTCTGTAAAAACTAGTCTCCAACGTTTATTTCAGAGATAATTTTTGAGATCAGATCTTTATTGTCAGATTGTCCACTTCATTTGTTAGAAAGCTGTGTCAGTCTCTAAGAAAACTTTATCAGTACATAACTATATAAATCCCAGATATTATTTCTAGAACAACTGGAAAGGTATATTTACCAAGGAAAAGAATGTATTTGAAAGAGCAGGCAGCGATACCCCAAAGAGAGACATAAGTGAAGACAGTAGCAAATCTTTGGAGGCAGATGTAATGCAGTGACAATAAAGCTGAAGAACAAACCAGAGACCAGTCAAACTGAGGAGGCAGCTTTGGAACTTCCATTCAGATGGCAGAGATGCATTCTACCACAAAGAGAGTGGAAACCCTTACAAAACAAAACAAGAAAAGAAATGTAGGGTATCAATTGTAAAGAATGCCATTGTTTCACAAATTATGATTAGGATAGAGACAGAATATGAAGCCCTAAAAATTGTGCAAGAAGCAAAACCAAAAATAACAAACTAACAGGATTAAAAAAATCTTTTCTAAGACTTCCCTAGCTAAAACAAAGTAATCTCTTTTAGATAATTAGGAACAATTCAACATAAAGCAGCAGATAATAAAACAAAATTGCAATGGATACTTTAGAAATTGAAATTGAAATGGTATTTCATTCAAAACATATATACTTAGATTTATTGTTCATTAAAAAGGATTTAATTGTGACTAAGATACTTAAAGTGTCCATCAGCTGATAGACATCAAGGGCAGATGCACGGGTGAGAGTTTATTTTGTTTTCCTAAGGTAACCAGGACATTTACATGGGACTAGTACGTATACGCAAAATAGGATATTCGACCTATGGAAGACTTATACATTCTGGAATGTTAAATGGAGATCAGCTACAGAGCTCTTCCTTTATGTCACACTGTGATAGTATTTGGAGAAATAATTCAACACATGGTCACATTTTCCATTTTATTCATCTATGTAAAAACAACATAATTCTTTTAAATGGAAAAAAAAAAGCAGCATGAAATTCTTTGAGTAAAACTGAAAGCTCTTTCAGTTGCCAAAAAAGGTGAATTATAACCTTATAAAAGAGTTAAAAGAAAATTGAAAAATATTAAAATTAATTTCTAATTACCCCTACCTGAACTAGTTTAATTGACCTAATCAAAACACCCTGCTCTGTTCTGTAAAAAAATGTCTTACATCCCATTCATGATTTATTTGTAAAGAGTGTGTTTGTTATATCCTGAGTGCATCACAGAATCTCTCAGCCCAGTATCCGTTTTTCAGAAATCTGACAAACAGTTTAAAAAGAGGTCTCGCATTTCACTCTTCTCTCAACATTGTGACCAATAGTGACTCATTTTCTTTTTATTATTGTCATCAATAGACATTGTTAAGGTCAATAAGTACTAGTTATAATTTCATGATTCTTGGATACTTTAGACTAAACAAGGAACTGATTTTCCTAGACTAGGTCATTTTTCACATCACTGACCAGAGTGACAAAATCTCAACACTAATATTTTACAAAAATAAATTTGAGGAAATGTCTTTGCTGGAAATGAACCTGAGAAAAGATGCCAACTTCCCTAGAAAGATAGCTCACCTAAAACTTTCAAGACCCATTTCAATGAGGTTTCTTTCATATATTTATGGTTTCTTTCATATTATTATTTCAATCTCAAATCTTCCAAAGGTTATGATATACAATAACCTTTTTTTTATACATCAAGGAAGAATCTGCTACCTTAGGATGATTTTAAGATAATTTCCATTGCAATTACTTCATAGATAATTTTTTTTAAAAGGATTAACAAGAAATTATTACAAATGCTACATTACTATTTTATGTTAAGCACTCAAAGATAAATAAGAAATCTGTCCCAAGGCAGATACCTGAGGCAAAAAATACACTATTCTACTTTTTCTTTTTTTTTTGAGCTGGCAAAAGTACTTGTGTGTAATAAGTGAAATGAAAGTTTTTCTTCGGTTGTATAACTTTTAATTTTACTAATTAAAGAGATAGTTTTGTTCTTGACACCAAATTCATTATATGAAAACAATTCTCTAATTGTTCTCTAATCTCTCAATTGTATGGTCAGTCAACAGAAGGACATGAATTATTTTAAAATAATGTGACTTTCTGAGAAAATAAATAATCTTCATTCTTCAAAGAATTTATTTACCAAAAGTTTTTTTGTTTGGAAACTGATAGTATGGTTTTTTCATTTTGATAGATTCTGAAGGACTTTGCAGTTTGATAATTGCATAAATCTGGGAGGTCTCTGCAGAATATAAACCAAAATAATTTGTGATGTACTAACATTCTTTTAATCCACATGGGTAGTTTAAAAGGTTCTGATCTACATTCTAGGTATTTTTAGGGAAAGTGCAGTATTTCTTCAATTCTAATCAACAAGAGCACTAAAAATATACAAACTCTCTAAACCATACTAAAATCCATAGACATTTGGAAATGTACTTGGAGAAACAGAGAGGAAGTTAGATAAACGTTGAATAAATTAATGGCTGTTCTTGCACATGTAGAGTAAGTAGTGATGAGTGATGACTCATAATTGTTTCAGTTTCCCTTTCTAAAACTTACTTGGATTATAAGGTTTAGAAATCTGCTGTCTGGTGAATGGGGTAGTAAAATGAGGGTCCTGCTTAAGCAAGCTCTTGTAAGTAATTCCTTTTGTCATCAATGGGAAGAAGATCAGTATCTGAGCTATGTCTTGTCTTTGACCCCTTGCTTGTCCTTATAGCCTAGCTATTTGTGTGTGTAAAATAATAGCTGCATATAGAAATGAAAATTTGCAGTTTGTTATAATCTTTCTGTTTGCTGTACCACACTCTGGTTCTGTCAGCTGCAGCTTTTCCTCTATTCATTAGGTCTGCTTCACAGATAATCTTCCTTAGACTATCACTTTGTCTGTTTCATCCTTTGCTGGTTCTCATGTCTACTGCATATGCAAGTTGCTTGCTGCATTGGCTGAGCATCACCAACTGCACGTGGTTTGTAGGTTCCCAGGACAGTGGCTGACCATGCTCCAGTTCTCATCCATCTCATCCTACATGAGATGCTCTTATAAAATAGAAATCATTATTACTTTTGTCATAATTTTAAGAGTGAAGTTTTAAATGAAACTTCATAGAAGCATCTGGAGTGAGTCATCTACACTCAGGATTGTTGGTTATATGATGAAATAATCTCACTGAAAAAAAATTGATTCTCACCCTATTCTGTTGCATTCTTCTGTGCTTTTTTTCCCTTGCATGTGAGTATCACATCTCACTAAACACCACCCCCTTCATTTATTTCACTTTCCAGGTTTATCTCAACTTTTATAAATCTGATCTCATCAACACAGAAGGAAATGTAAATAATTTTAAAGCAGCATAAGTGAAAGTAAGAGTTAGTCTTATTTAGAGTAATTTCGTGCTACTTCTAAGCTGTCATTCAGGATATTATATGATATTTTGGACTTTCTGTTGGGCTCATTGCTATTATACTAATGATCTGCTTCTAAACCATGATAATTAAAAAAAAAAATTCCAATCAGAGTAAATGAGAAATATTTACACATCTGTCTTTGAGGCCATTGTTTCAGGCTAGATGCAAGCTTTAGGCTTAATCTGGAGAAGGATATGATGAAAAATATTCCAGGAGCAACTCAGAAGTCACTGTAAGACAGAAAGAAAAACCTTCTTCAGCTTTTTCTTGATCTTAGGTCGTTTGTCACCATATTAAATTAATTATGGCCTAATAATTTACTCTTTAATTTTCTTAGGGTAAGACTTACCAACAAACACAAAATGTGTTTTCTTTGCTCACAAATGAAAAGTTCTTCACTTAATGAGCAGTTTTGATGTCACATATAGATCCAAGATATGAAAGTTTGTATGGTGGAGTTAATGTATTTCTTCCTGCTCCGAGAAGTAGAGAAGTATTTCAACTCAGGCCTTCGCCACTTATTTCAAGTCTGACATGCAAGCAATCTTTTTTCTTTTTTTTCCAGTTCTTGATTTCATTTGAAAAGAAATGTGTAATTTGTTTTCATGGAGAGATCTGACCTTCATAAAATGGAAACAATTGTGTGGTTCTGTCTTATATGAGTCAAATTTCTACGCTGCAATTCCTACACACCAAAGCCCAGACACAAGGAAATTGCAAAAGTAGCATCAACAATACTGTGAGCTGTTAATTTCAAGATAATACACTGTGCTGGAAATCACAGCTAATGCCATGATTTACCTTCCAGAGTGATAAAAGAATGCTCACATTAATTGGTAATGAACAAACAATTGAGCTTAAGCAGAAGTGTTTACAGCTGAGGAAGATTTTTTCTTTCTTGCCATCTTCCATCATTTTGCTACCATCTGATTTCACATGAGTCACTTTACACCAATGGAATGAAATCCAAGAAGGAATATGTCTAACTCCAGCTAAAGTCTGCAAGATCCAGAGAGAAATTTCATATCTATTTTTAAAGCATTCATACAGGAGCAGGAATAACAGTTTAGGAAATTAAACCAAACATCTCTATAATTCACCTCTTCAGTGGAGCAAGGGAAGAAAGATGAAAAAACCTCGTGGGGCAAGAAAAGGACAGAGCGATCCCTCACCACTTGCTACCATGGGTAAAATTGGCTTGACTTTGGGGAAAATTATAACAGAGTAGGATGGTTATACATAAGAACAAAAGTAAAATAATTTTCTTTTCATTCCACTCATTTTTTCAAGCTGCACTTCACTCATAATCCTTTTTTCCTGCCCCTCACTCAATGCCATGCAGTCCTCCATGAACAGACTGCTCCAGTGTAAGTCCCTCACAGGACACAGCTCTTGCCAGAAAATCTACTTTTGCATGAGTTCCTCTCCACAGGTTGCAAGGTCTAGCCCAGAGTTGGCTTCTTTTTGAGCTCTTCATGAGTCACAGCTTCCTTTGTGGGATCTCCATCTGCTCTGGTGTGGGGCTGTCCATGGCCTGCAGGGTAGATGTCTGAGACACTGCAGCTTTCTATGGGCTCATGAGAGTGAGGAATCTCTGCTCTGGAGCCTGGTGCACCTCCTCCCTCCATTTTTTCCTCCAACCTCGGTGTTTGCAGGGTTTCCTCTCTCTCACAGGTGTTGCTCTGGTTTTTTTTACCTTTTTTTAAATAGGTTATCACAGAGGTGCCACCAAAGTTGCTCAGCTTTGGACAGCGGCAGGTCTGACATGGAGCCTGCTGGTATTGACTCTGTCAGATATGGGGGTAGCTCCTGCACAGAGGCCAATCCTAAAACATACCCTGGCTACCTAGAGCTTGCTTGTAAAACTGACATGTGGCCACACTTCCCTCTTCAGTTTACTATTCCATCAACTTAGATAGAGCAGGGTTTTCAAATATGACATATTTTATTACTAGTAATGAATAAACAGATTAAATCAATAATTATTGTCAGCCACAGAACTAAACCTTTGGAAGAGAAAAGGCTAAGTTTCTGCCTCAATTAGAGCTGTTACTCTGCCCCATGAATTCTATTCCTGGATTTCTATTCTTAGCTTTCTATTTCTGTATGAACTTGAACAAGTCACTCGTCTTCTCTCTGCTTAGTACTTGGCAGAAGTTCTTCTGGGGTTAAAATCATTATTCAGTACATGTTATGATCACCATGTGGAAGGTCACTGCACAGGAATTACAAAACTTATTTTTCACCATGAATTTAAACATGTTTGCGTTTTGAAATAAAATGGAATTCATTAATAGTAAATAATACAATGCATAGAAATATTATTTTATGCATGATTAAGAGAAAATTATCTTATTATGTTTGTCTGGTGGAGTAGAATTTGATTAAGAATTCCACTTAAATACATAGATACACACACATTCACCTGGCACCTGTTTCACTGTTAGAGGGGAAGCTGCTGCCTGAGCATCCTCACACTATTCAAGGAGTCACACACACACCACTTGAAACTTTATCTGCAAAGACCAGAGTCCCTTTGCAGCAGGAGGCTTCATGAGCCAACTCCTTGCTCACACACATGCTCACTCATGGACATGCTTCCCCCTTCTTTGGGTTTGAACTTAGGCTTTCCTTAGCAAAGTCTCAGGCACTGGATTTATAAAAATAAATAATAGAGCAGGTCAGCTCTAAATAGCAGCAGCAGGTCACCTCAAGCTGGGTGCCTCCAGAGAGTGACACAGAACAAAGAAATAAATCCCCAGACAATTTTACCCTTATGAATTCTGCATCCACCTCTCACTCACTCTTCCCATGTCTTGTGTGTGTTTCTTGTTCTAATGGTGATTTTGGAGTCTTTTAACAACCTGTTGGATTCTTTCAATTTGTCTGAGCAGGCAGGTTGTCCACTGTTCTCATCTTGTGGAGTTACAGCTTCTGCTGGTGGTTGTAGTGTCTTGTTTACACTGCTGCTGCACCTGCTCTTTGGTAGAACATGAGAAATTAAAAAATCTCTGATCTGGGCTAAACATTACTTGTCAACAACTAAACCATCAGTGTGCTTTCAATGTTGTCTCATACTAAAGACAAAGTAAATCACTGTACTAGCTACTAGGATAGTTACTATGAAAAGCTACTATGAAAATGAATTCCTATAATCTATTCCAGCCAAGAGCATATCTAGGTGTAAGTTCACAGCTTGAAGCCTAAGGCTTCATCAAAACAAGTTACTCATGCTAAGACAAACAGCATACTAAACACATAGTATTCTGGTTGTGTAACTCATTCTATAACATTTATTTCAGCTAAACAACTAATATCTCAATGTTAACTCAACTCTCAATATTCTCAGCTGATCATTTTACCTTCCTTTCATTCTCTTCTCAATTAGTACATTGCAGAAAATGGATAAATATCAATTGGCTTCAACAGAAAAGGCTTTTTGTTGTTTTTCTAGCTCATGTTTGTGGTATGCAGACCTATAACATGTCATGGAATCTGCAGAGTAAGAAGGCTGGAACTCTCTGTCTACCTTCTCAGGTACAAAGGAAAGATGTGATATCTCTTCTTTGGTTATACATTATAGTTGTTACACAATTTGCTTTTCCTCAAAATTAAACCAACAACAAATCAAAACCAACAATCCAAAACAACAAAGAAACAAAACAAAGCGAAACACATGGACCATAATATTGTCTACTTTGAATAACAAATTTTCTGAACAGACTGTCATTGTGCTGGTAAGAATTGCAAGAAAGCAGCTTTTTGCACAAATACACTCAAACAATGCTTATGAAGCACTTTGCATTTCAAAAGAGGAGTCAAGACCAAAGACCTATAAGATAGCTCTAAAGTAACTTTGCAAATGCTATGTTTGAAAAATAATATTTCAGATTTACTACTTTTCATGGATCTCAGGGGCTTTGGTTTATATGTGACATTAATCCACTTTTACTCAGGCTTTGCTTCTTAGAGATATCCTTCCTATTTACCCGACTTTCCAATTTTTGTTGTTTACCAACTTTACCACTCTCTTATTGATAACAGAGCTCATGCAAACTTAGTCACTATCTTCCATGGACTTCTTGTCTGAATATCACTGACCTCAGTGACGTCAGAGGCTGAAACAGTTGCTCAGTTTTCTCATGCCTTTCCAACTACAAAGAACTCCTATAAAATCTTGGATTTTATATGAGAATGAAGATATATACACTAAAGCTACATCACCTGCATCATTATACAGTTGATCATCTGGTTGCTGCGCTGCTCCAAATTTAGATTTAGACTCGTGATACTAGAGTTTGAAAAAATACATTACCAGAAAATGTATCCCCAAAGAGAGATATTTACATACAGGAGATTCCTACTATAAATTCTTCCTTGGGCTTGTATTGATTGCTGTTGGAAGTAAAAAAATTGGCTGGATTTACCTTCTTACTGTATCATCTGATGGGAAACTGTATGTTTACTTGCACAGATGCTAAAAGGAATGAACAGACAGATAACAGGAAGACAGTCATTGCACTCAAAATGCAGATAGAAGACAAACTCTATGCATGAAAATACTGCAACACAGTTGTTTACAAAAAGGAGAAAAATGGGACTATGATTAAAAAAGGTCAATTCAAATGTGTGAGGACAACTAACAATTATTCAGAAAATAATTTGATCAGGCATCATTAGAATTCATCAGCTTTTGCAAAAACTCCTTTGCTAATAAAAGAGCTGTTTAGGAAATTATTTTCTTAATTTTATTTTTATTAAAAAGACAGTGGTAACTTTGGAGAAAACTGACCAGATGAAATTGTAACTTCACTTAGCCTCTGCTCTTCTTCTGGGCCAGGATTTCAGCTGCTGTGTCCTTTACTTGGCGGTTTTCCAGTCATGAACTAACCTGCTATTTCACTGGTGAGATCTAGTGTAAGATGTATCTGTCCACTTCATTAAAGAAAAATATCTAATGGTTTAATACTACCAGAAAAATTGTACAAGTAATCTTTTATTTATTTATGGTATTCATGTGTCACTAAAATATTTTACTAACTTGAAATAAAACCAGGCCTTTTTTGTACTCTGGACTGATAGTCTAAAAATCAAAGTAATATACCATCATCCAAACTTTCTTACTGAATGAATAATGCATTGAAAAAATAATTTTATAATAATTCAATAAAAAAATCCACCTTCAATATTTAATTTGTAGTGATCAGACTTTTTTACTAATCC